ATTGGACGAAGATTGAACGTTTGGCGAGAAACTGAGGAAGCCACACGGGCACGCCTAAAATCTCACACGGTCGTGTGACTTGGCCGTGTGGTATCATTTTGCACGGGCAAGCCACACTGGCCGTGTAGGGGACCCCTTGTGGCCGTGTGGAAAGTCCAGGGAGCTCACACGGGCAGCCTGCAAATCCACACGGTCGTATGTCCCTGGCCGTGCAGCATGCCTGAAAACTCACTAATCGAAACACCGCGTTTTGGCATCCACAGGGGCAGCTGGAATTTCCACACGGTCGTGTGGTCGGGAATTTCTGGGTTTTAACCCAATTTCGAGCCAAAGGAGAGGGAATCGACTTTTTGGAGCAAAAACCAAAGCCCTAGAGAGAGAAAGTGCGAAGAACACCCCCAAGAGTGGTTTTGGAGCTGGGTTTCATCAATCAAGCTTGGAAATCATCCTTGGAGTAAAGATTATCATCCTAGAGCATATTCTTCCCATCTTGATGAGTATGACTGCTTTATTTACTGTTTTCCTCTCTCTCTCTCTCTCTGGAGTAGAACCCTCTCTCACTTGGGTATGAAGAACCCTAGTTCTATGTGTTAGGGATCATTGTTGTAACGACGTTTGGATTGTGATATTGTTGGATTATAATCGATTGAAGTGTTTTGATTGAGTCAATTGAAGCCTGATCATCTTTTATTGATTTCTGCTGCAACCTGAGATAGATAGAATCTGATTAGGTTGTTAGAGCTTCTTCAATCGGTAGTAGTGAATCGATTATACGAGAGTTAGTCGATTCACTGCTTTGTACTGGAATTCAGTTCCAGTAGTGGAGTTTTGTGTTCATAGCCTCAGCTTTCTATCCCGGTGAAGACTAGTCGTCTGCCGGGTAGTTTGGCTGAGAGGGCTTGGTCAGCTTAAGAGATTCCAAGCTACTGTCGGATCTTCCGCAGTATAATCAACAGTGAAGCAACCAAAAGTAATTACAACTGTGACCTAACTAAGGAGCTAGGGGGGCTCATTCCTGAGTGACTCTTCCTTTGCTTTAGAAAACCGAACCATTTCCTGCTTTCTTACTGATTTTAGTTAAAATCACAATCACTCAACTTAGTTTGCTAGATAACTAATATACACGGAGTAGGCAGTAGATCTAGACCCCGGATTAACAATTAGAACTTGCCTGTTACTGCATTTCCGGACTGCGATTACACTGAGTCGCAGTTTGGTGTTGGGTTTTAGCGTGTCATCTGCCTTTGAGTCCAGATCTATCAACCTTGTGGAATTGAGAAAACACATAAGCTCTAATTACCTAAATGGTACAACCATCTATGAGGGGCTGAGGAAGGTTATGAATTTGAACCCACAGAAAGATTGTTGGTATATCTACTTCTTGGGGTAGGATCACTCCACCCCATTTCTTCAGGGCTATCATGATGTTTGCCAAGCTTCAGGGTCTTGCTTCCCACACAACATCATGATCTGCTTCTGAAGGAAAAGAGTAAACATAAAGGTTTTATCCTCTTATTTTAACTTGGATTTCACCGTGGTTTTCCATTTGCTTTGGGCAACACTCCCAGCTTTCTAGGGAGCAATTTTGTTTTTGGTAGCCATTCCCAATTAGCATGGCTATTCCTCTACCTCCACCTCCAACCACTTGGGTTGGATATTCATGACCAGATGTCCCCTTATCGTTTAATAAGTCAACTTGTTGTTATCCATAGTGAGGAAAAGGTAAGATTTGGGGTGTGTTTTGGTTGTGAGCACGTAGAACTTGTTTAGGTTATCAAAACTAGTTATTGTTATTTGCATAAATGGGTTAGCTTGTCTCGTGTCTTTTTTGCTCTACCCCTTCCCTTTTATAGGCCTCCAGTCAATGGTGAAGTTGGTAGCAGTAGACATCTTCTCACGCATTTCCTCTTATTGCATAATGTTGAATGACCCTTCTTCACCGCTAGAGGATTCTTTGGATATTTTATGATCTTTGTGTTTGAGTTTAGTGGCTAAGCTTTCCATCTCATTAAGCGTAGTTCCTACTGTACGCTTCATTTTTGGAAAGACAGTGTAGATGTGACTCTGAGATTGGTCGTCTATGTATATCTCTGAAAGATTTTGTTGTGGTAGCTTCTTAACATCAGATAGGTCTGGTGGTGGCTTCTAGAGCTTCTTAAGTGGCTTCTCGGCATTTATGCGGGTGGGTTGTAGGATTTTTTGTAACTTGTATTGGTGGGCGTTAGGATTTCTTATCTCAGTTTGGATTGGAAATAGATATGTTTTATTTTAAGATGTATAATAGAATTGGATTCTGAATATTGATCGCTCTAATATCGGCAGCTGGAGATTTCCTATCTTGCATAGTAGTTTCTAGAGTGAGAGCCAGATGAAAGAGAGTCATTTTGGGGTTAGTTGTTTTCAACCATAAAGGATATGATGTTGGTGACTTGTTTTTCTTTGTTAGCGAATATTTAATTTAAAATGGTCAAATTAAAATTTGGCATGAGCAATAGAAACACTTCCCAAGTGCTTTTCGAATCCACAAAGAAGGTATCTAATTTTGATTGTAATTTATTATGAATTTCATTCAATGAATTGGAGGACTAATTCTACGGGTTAAAATCAACCTGGCCTAACCAATAGAAAATGTGAGCGGGTGCCAGATCACATAACCAACCCATTCGTAAGAGGGTGGCTGGATTTGAGACTAAAACCCATATGATCCACCTATTTATTATCCCTAGTTATATTTATATAATTCAAGAATATTTATCTCAATATAAGTAGTTTTAGCAAGGTGAATGAATGAAATTCAATGATATTTGGAAGGTGTTAAGAACTTTTTTGTGGAAACGGAAAAGAACCTCAAGAACAAAGTTGAGAGGACTTGGGAAGAAAAAAAAGGATAATAACACTTCTTATTCTTATTCGTATAAGTGTGCTTTGTTTACATGCACAAACATTTAAGACTTTCACTAGTACATTCTTCATGATGAGAAATAATATAATGTATCTATACGAGAATTCAAATATGGCAGATGAGCTAAAAAGAATTTGCAACATCTAATGGCAATTCATATTAGATTTTTATTTTCATAACACTACCCCTTGGATATCCATTAGTTAACGATGTCTCGTTAAAATATTACTATGAAGAATCCTTTGGGATAAAATCCAAGTAAGGAAGAAGTACATATTCACTTCATTGTGCTATCTCACATTGCCTAACTAACAATCTTACAAAGAAAACTTAATGATAATAATAATGCATAAGTGAAAAGGAATGCAATGAATATGAGTATAACCTCCCCGTCATGATAACATCAGTTGTGATATTTGACTTTTAAATTTTATTCTGACTAACAAACTTTTCAAAAATTGTGGTTGGAAGTGCCTTATCGGAAAAAAAAACTTTCCCGATTCTCACTTGATGCATGATCTTTTGGATCTTCATTACACAATTTAGTTACTACAAGTAACCAATATTAGAAATGTCACTAGCTTAGTCAAGTGACTAGGCTCCCGCAATTGTTGATCGACAAAGCTAATCTAATGTTTATCATAAAATGGGGGAGAGTAAGAGAGAGATACGTTGTGGTGATGGTAGTTACGTTGGATGGATGTGGCCACAATAAAGATGGGTACGATGGAGGTTCACGTAGAAGTCGACTTAATTTTTCCTATTAGAGTTGAAGACTCGGGACTTTTAGGCGTGAAAATTCACCAAGTGAACTTCTCGAAAGACGGTCTAACATGCTACCCACGACTCAAGAGGCCAACTCAAACCTCTAGCCCTATAGGAAATTAGGATAGATGTCTATTTAGATTTGGTTTGGAGTTTGAACCTTCCACCAAAAATCAATTTTTGTATTGGAGATGCTCCTAGATTGTTCTTACCACAAAATGAAGGTTACTACTCACAAATGCCTCATACCTTTGGCATCTACTGTTTTTTTTTTTTTCCCTTGTGTGACTAGCCCTTGGGATGATATATTTCATTCTCTTCCTCCCTCCTCCCCCAGCCCATTTTTTTATTATTATTGAATATGCTCTTTGAAGGATGTTATCCATCCTCATAGTCTCCTTCATGTAGTTTGCCTTTGTTGGAACATCTGGAATGCTAGGAATTAAAGCATCTACATAAATCAATTTCTTTGCCCCCTACAATATATAGGGTTGTAGGACCTCCCAACCGAGACTTCCTTGATTGGACCTCCCAACCGAGAGATACTTCTCAACATCCTTCCCTCCAGTACCGAGCTCAGGAAATCTCGTACAAATACTGCTCTGTTACCAAGTAATTTTGTTCTGGTGATTCACTGTGATGGGTCGTTCTTAAAGAAATCTCATCTAATAGCTTGTGGTGTTGTAGTCATTAACAGACATGGATAAATGTGTGTGGGTGAGATGATAATATATTTTATTCCACCCGATGAATGTGTTGTGTTGTTAGATCGAATTGTTAGGTTCTCGTTCAATTGATACGAATGTATGGTCTAGATGGCCTTGGAGTTCACAACATGGTTGATATGATAGTGTATATTCTCAAAATGACCCTTCTAATTAAGATTGAAGGAATTTATGAAAGCTCAAAGGTAGACCGGGGTATTCATTCTTCAAGTAGATCCTCTCTATTCCGAACAATTGAATGAATATTTCATATCTTATTTCTATCATATGTAAATTCTTTCATGTGCTCTTCCAATAATGAAATAAATTCAATCTTCATGTAAAAAAACTTAATCCAATTAACAAAATCTCCTTCACAAATCACAAATCAAGCTTCAACAACGGTATCCGAAAAATCCCAAAATCCGAATCCTTTATTCTTTCTGGGCTCCGCCTTAAATCTATTAATCTATATATCAATTTAGGTCCAACCTTTATCCGTGGGCCAAATTTGGCGTCTAAAATAAAAGCCCCAGAGTCCTTTTCTAGTGCTGACCATTGGGCCCGCAAAATCACAACAGCATCAATTCGGGTTTTACCGGCCCGAGATGTGTGCCCCGTCTAAATTCCCTAGCCTGCCGAGTTCAGGCAGAGAAACCTGCGGGTTTTTAGCCAAACCCCTCCTTACCCACCAATGGCAAAATCTCTGTAGTTCCAACTTCGGGGAGCGATGTCAATGATTTCCACCATTGCCCTGTCTCCTCATCCTACTCTCACATCTTCGCCATTCCTTCGCCTTCCTCTGCAACCACGCAGCGGAGTCAATTCCATTACATTTCGCTCTTTACCCGTCAAAGGCCCACCATTTCTCGGCAAAGCCGGCTGCAAAAGATTGAGGCTTTTCGGCGATAGGAAGCTGACGCTTGAGTTTTCCGTCAATTCACAGAACACTGAAGGGGAAATCAACAATGGCGTCGAAGATGATTCCCAGAAGATGGCTCGAGAAGAGACCACGATGCCTGATAGATTCCGGTACCTGACCAAGGAAGCGCCTGACCCGCCTCTCAGGTGGCCTTGGTTTGTCGGTACGCTCTTTCTCCTCTTCGCAAATTGATACAAATTTCGGCTGGTCTTAGATAATAGTCTGTTGCTTGAATTGAGATTAATTCTGAGTACTGAGTAGATTTTGGCGATGAAGTTTGGGAATTCGTTAGTCGAACCACTTTGTTGCAGGCACTTCTTAGGAATTCCTCACCAATACTTTCGTTTACCTTAGACAGAAATCCTATAACATTGCGTTCTTCCTGGCCCTATGAAAAGCAAGAAAGAAAAGGAATCAGAAACTATGTCTAGATTAACCTACCGTTAGAGAGTTGTTGGCTGAGATTTTGTTCCTTGTGATTTCATGGTTTGGGTGGAATATTAGATGTTCGTGTTAGGATGAACATATGTAACTCTGCTGGTTGAAACTTTAGTATGAGTCTTGTTATTGAGGTTCTCAATCGGTCCAACATGATTGCTTCTTCCTCAGTATCAATTGTCTTAGGCCGTAATGTATGCTTGTACTTGGTGTAAACATATCCGCTTGGGAAGTTTGTCGTGCTGTGGATCATTGGTTGCTGGTGTTCAAGAAAGATAATGAAATGCTTATTGTTGATTCTGCAGCACTAGGTTTCCTCATCTATTCATGGAGGGCGGTCTTATTTGAGCTTGGTAACTGGAAGAAGGGTGCATTATCTGTCATCGGTTTCGTGGGGTATCTCTTAAAACTCCTTCTGGCCCTAATCTTCCACTTCATTGGTGACCCAATAACGTCTCTAATACGAACCCTGGAGACCGGGTTCTACATGGTTCGAGCTTTCTATTCCAGAATACTGCATTACACCCCAGTCCCAGAATTCACCACAATGATTGTGCTTTCATCAGCGGTGCTCGCTATTGCTGAAGCTGCTGTTCCAAATTCAGTAAGCAGCCAACCATATCTCCTCACGTTATCCGGTCTAATTGGCTATGCAGCAGTAGGGAACTACATTTCAGAGCCACTCTTCTGGACACTTCTTCTGGGTGTGTACACTTTCTCTCGATTGGTTAAGAAGAGGGACGATGTCACATCTGCCCTTCCTGCTGCTACTGTGCTCACTGCTATAGGAGAGCCCTGGGTGAGGGTACTGGTAATGACTTCATATGTCGCCCTTGCCATCTATCACCATTCGAAGAATCGTACCAAGGGTGAAGAAGGCGAAGTTGTTGCAAGAGGGAAGCAGGTTCCAGCGCCGTTGCTGTGTGCAGGCTTAGCCATTGGTATAAAGATTGCTGCCAAGTGGGCTGGGTATCGCCACTTGACATGGATGGTAGTATAGAACGATGTAATCTTCTGGTGAAACAAATAAATTGATTGCCATGGAGAGCCTCAACCCTCAAACTCTTTCCTTCCACTCTGTGAAGCTTTTTGGTTCAGTTTGCTTAAAAAAATGTGCTTATTGTTCTACATCAGCTGGGATAAAAGAGGACAAGGTTTTGTTTCTTTGGGGCTGGTAAACAACTCTCTAACATCAATGGTGGTAAAGATGTATTGACAACTCTGAGGCAGAGCCGCAGAGGGAAAGAAGAACTGAAATGTTTGGGTTTGGGCCCAGATAAGAAAGTACTTTCACCAATTACAATTTGATTCTGATGTAATCGAATCAGTTACACTTAGCTAAGTCAACCGGTTCCTTGATTGATTGAGCCATTTTGACGAGTATATAATATGATGCACAACATGACTCTAATTTGATATATAGTAAGGGTCACTTTGGAGAAAAGGAAGGATTTGGATCATTGAATTCACGGAAGGTTATGTTTTTTCTGCATTTTTTAATTTTTATTGTGAATTTAAATTTTAGAGATTTCAAATTTTTTAACTTTAGAAATATCAAACTTTTTATTAATTAGATTTATTTTATTTTTCTTTTACTTTATAGCTTCTTTTATTTTCCATTAATGCCATTAACAATAAATTTTCAATGTTTTTTTGGGTTGCTCTGATTCTTTTGGTTAAGGGCACTGTACAAGAAGGCGCTATACAGGCGTTGTAGTCCTGCTTAGCGCCAGCACGAGCGGCGCCCAGGCGTTAGCGAAAACACAAATTTTCAAGAATTTTTTCAGAAATACCACAAAAAAATTCAAAAATACCATTCGTTCCAAACAAAATCGTGACCCTCTATGGTGATTTACAAAAGGACCGTAGGAGGAAGCTGCGATTTTCATTTCACCCCTTGCGGTTTTCATTTTGTATATAAGCACAGGGGTAGCCGCGGTTAACTAACAAACAGGCGACCCCAACCCACCCCTCCCCCGCGCGGTTTGCTTATAAATTTTTTTTCCGATCAATGACCTAGGTTGAAATTTCAAACGAACATAACTTTGCGCTCGGTTATCCGATCGTAGCAAAAAAAAAAAAAATGTGATTCCGCATATTCTTTCAAGATCTTGCAAACCGCTTTAGTATCACATTCTAAAAACGTCGCTTGCTACCCTGAACGTGCAATTTTTTCAATTTTGCCAAACTTTGAAATGCCATAATTTTGTGCTCCGGAACTCGAACGTTGGTTTTACTTTGAAATGCCACAATTTTTTCAAAACGGGAAATATTTTAGGATATAAGGGGTTTTGGGTATAACTTTGGTTTTACTTTTCATAAATCCACATACATTCTGCAAAAATAGCTATGATAAAATTTGTAGTCCTTAAAAAGTTATGCGAAATAAAAAAAATAATTGGGGCGTTCAGATTACGGAGTACAAAGTTATGGTTGTCTAAAGTTTGACGAATCGAAAAATTGCTCATTTGGGGTAGCAAATGACATATTTCAGGATGAAGGCGAGACCAAACTACTTAGGGTTATTTGCGGCTTGCAATATCAAAAAATTATGCGGAGTCAAAAAAAATTTCACTACGATCGGATACCCAAGCGCAAAGTTACGTTCGCTTGAAGTTTCGGTAAAAAACATTTCATAGGCAAACCGCTGGGGATGCGGCGGTTTGCGCCGAATGGCTGAGGTGACCCACGGTCAATCTGACCGCGGCGACCCCATGCGGTTTTCAGCCGACAGGATTGATAACCGCGACACCCCCTATGGTTCTCGTATAAACCGGCATAGGGGTTTGTGATTTTTGAAAAAGGGTGGTATTTTTGGAATTTTTTAGTTTTTGGATGGTATATCTTGAAATATTACAAATTTTCAACGGAAATAACAATTTTATAGCACTTTTTTCCTTGGGTTCAATTTCAAATGATTAATAGTTTAACAAAATCTCCACACACAAGCAAGATATGTCATGTTATTCAAGAATCACAAGTCATATAAGTCGTGGGTTGTGACTGGTATATAATCAACAATGTTGAAGAGCAGGGCAAAAGGTCGAGTTGACCAAAGCTCGATAAGAATTGAAGGAATAGTTGGTTAAGATTGCTCTGTGGTCGACGATAGTGAAAATCAAGATAGAGGGTCGGGTCGACTGAAGCTAGAGAAGAACTACGAAATTTGTGGGTTGTGGTTGTTTTGCTGTTGGCAATGACAAAAAGTGGGTAGAGGTTGAATGGAATGGAGCGACAAGGAGAAGTCGTTGAAATTAGAGGTGGAAATCGGTACGGTACCGGTATCCAAATCCCAAATACCGAAATCCCGATTACTGAATTTCACCCTAAACTCAATCACAATCTCAATCGCTAAATATTTCGGTATCCCAATTGGTACTTTGGTATTCCAATCGGTATTATCGAAGACGAAATTTATTACCTTTGCAATCAATGATTAAATATATAAATTAGATTTAATTATTTAATTTATGGGAAAGAGACTAAGCAAAGAGCCTTCATTTTGTCTAGAGCTAGGATATGGATAAGGGAAATGGAGGAGAGGTGACATCTCAAATTCTTGTCATTGGTAATCTTTAATTTGACGAATTGGTGGCTAAGAGACGACAAATACTAGTGTTTGCTTTTTAGCATTATGAAAATAACAAGAGATTAGCTTATAGACGAGAGTGACTTAAACTGGAAAGTCAAAATTGAGTTGGATGTGGTCTTCTAAGTTGTGAAAGAGTGAACGAATCTCAATCTCAATCTCTAAAACATAAGCCGGTATTCGGTAATACCAAATAGTGGTAAATTCGGTACGATATTCAGTATATCCCAAATACCGATACTAAACTTACAGCCCTAGTTGCAAATATAAGTTCCAAGTCATTGTTTCATTAATCTATAATTGCAATTCAGGAATGAATGACGTGTGCGAATATAGGGCATCTGGATATTGCGTCGTTTGGAAAAAACTAGCAACATTTCCCCCCTGGTCTACCAATACCCTTGAGTGTGACTCACTTCGATTAATCATGTCTTGCACTAATTAATCGTGTTAAACTCTACCTAGGCGGCATCTAGGCTCTATAAATGCCTATTGTCTGGGTAGAGTTTATGTGAATCGTTTTGTCACTGTCTAAATCTTACGTATGAATTACGTCTTTTTAAACTCTGATTACGGATAAATATATCATATAAAAAAGGGTGTTTTATATTAAGGCCAATGCTACGATGCCGCGGTAAAAAGTGCGGCACCGGTGACGCAGTATTTGATTGGGCCACGTGGAGGTTATGTGGCATGAACTGACTTTAATTGAACCAAGTCCATGGCCATGGGTACTGGAACCAACCGGCATTGCCCACTAACGGAAACCCTTCTCCGTCCAACCCAAACTCCTATATGTTTTTATCTTTTTATTGAATAAACATTTAATAGGTTGTTTTTAGGAAATTTAAAATTCAGAAAACAATAAACAGAGGTCGAATATGGAAGGAGGCCAGTTCCGCAATCTCCTTCTCCGGCGGTGTCTCCAAAATCACTCTGGTTCCGTTGTTCGTGATCCCATGTTCATCTAGTTACCTGTTCAGAAGCGAAGGAATCTGTGTCTTCGCGGGCCTCTGTCACCATCGAAAAGCGACGCCGCCAATTACCAGATGGTACCAAGTTAGAGAAGGGGAGGGACGCCCTTCTTCTCCGGCGGTCGTTCTAGAATCACTAAGGTCACTTGTTCTTGGTCGATTCCATCTCCAGGGTCAACCTTACCCTTCGAGTTCATATCTGAGGCGAAGGAATCTGTGTCTGCGGCGGTCACAATCGAAAAGCGCCGTCGCCGATGCAATTTCTGATAAAGCCTACAGGTTTCACCTTCACAATATTCCATCACCTGCTCCATCATCATCGGAATCTTATCTGCCTCTGATTTTGCCCCTAATCGAGGTCCTCGATCCGAGTTTCGTTTCTGCGTCTTTTTATGTGTTCGTTTGGCGCTGTTGGCTTGATGTGGTCGTATTGCCATTTCAAGGTTCTATCTCCTTGTATGTTATCACGACAGGGTTTGACGAATTCTGCATCCCTACATCGATCATTTAAGGCGTAGGGTTCATTTCACATTTAGGATTCTCCTTAGTTTCTGGTTACAGTGGAGCGAATATTTAATCTTGAGAATGAGAGGGGTGTTCTATGATTGTGATGCAGGTAGGCTTGCCTTGGCTTCTTCCCTAATTGTAACATGAGCAGCATTGTGAGTTTAGCTTGGGATCTCTGTTTATCAAATTCGAATTTAAATGTTCATGGCTTGTCTTTAGTGTATTTACAGTTTCTTTAGCCACAAGATCACTTTGTCGTTGAATTATTTGTATCTATCTCTCTTTCAGGTCAAAGATATGATGGATCATTTGTTTCAGTGCGGGTGCACTTTCTTTCTAGTTCTACTGCTGTTGTAATTGTACTATGCTGCTGCACTTTCTTTTTCATGCTGTCATAAATTTGCTGGTGCTTCTGTAACTTGGGTGGCTGAATGTAGAGCTGAGTGGGCTAGCTTAGCTCCATTAGAAGCATAGTAGAAAAGCAACAAAGGAAGAAACTCAAAGGGAAAAGCAACAGAGGAAGCAGCTCGATGGTTGTAGAGAGAGTAGATAGTCAGGAAGGCTGCAGAAGGTTGGAAAGTTTTAACAATAAAAGCTGCTCTCTTAACAAAGAAACTGGAAGATGGAATTGGAACACAACCACTGCTGGCAGTTAGCTTAGATATTCCCCCAAGTCTATCGATGCCAGTCCAAACCATGTGCAGAAGCAATTGATATTGGAAGGCACTCAATTCAAAGAATCTGCAGATATGGCTGCTACTGTTAAACTTTTCCCATGTACTTTATTTTATCTTTATTCAATAATATTATAGCACCATTATCTGCAGAGAAAACACAAGCTGGTCCAAAAGAATCACCACTATCCTGCATACCCTACCCTGACTATAAGAAAGCAACATTGAACTCCTAAGTAAACAAAGTTATAGATTGAAGGGTTCATAATGGGGAAAAAGCACCATCCAATCCATGTAAGGAGGTAGCATACAATTTGGGCCTCTTTGGGTTCCAACTCGTTTAAAATACCAAAAACATACGCCTTCACCACTTTCTTCAGCCTCCTTGGGGTTCCTTGTCCACCTTACCTTCCGCTCTACCAATCAAGAGAAGATTCAAAATGTAAGTACAAATAGAAAGAACACAAGAAATGTCCTGCTACTGGCTACTGCTATTCCTCAATATGGTTTTTCTTTCTTCCGTGCCAAGTTCCTCATCCTCCGAACATCATGGCTTTCAAATTCATGTACCAAATGCAGGAAGAAAGAAAAAATTCAGCGATATTCTACTTACTGACAGGAAAAGAAACTAAACTATCATAGTAATCAACCTAG